TATGTATATATAAAATAAATAAAGTGTAAGAAGACAAAAACAAAATACCTATAACCTTTAGAGAAAAAGGATAAAAAGGAAATAAATTCACACACTTGAAGCATAGCTACCCTGATCAAGTTCCTAGGAGCTACTGAAAGAAAGCAGGAGTCCAACAGTCTGCATTTAACAATAGGCCCCCACACCAGCCTTCCAAGAGGCACCTAAGTCTTTGTAAAGCAAAGCCACATCTTCAAGTAAACACATTTGTGCAGGCTTTCAACTTCTCACGCTGGGGTTTCAAAGTTTCCCTAATAATCAGGAACTCAGGACAGAAGCCTCTTTCTTTAATCAGAGTTTTGGGGTTGTTCCTCCATGCTTGCGTAGGGTTCTTGGTAGTGATCTGCAGAGAGCACAGGGCTATATAACTTAGGGGGTACTCCCAAGTGCCACACTTGAGGGGTGGGAGACAGCTCTTCTGGTTATGCACACTAGCACTGAATCCCTGTTTATCATGATCTGTTTTCCTCTTAGTTTCTTTCTTTTTTAAAAGCTGGGATGGAACCTTGCACACGTGAGACAAGAACTCTACTACTGAGATACATCCTTAGCTCTCTGGCTTGATTTTTCTCAGGAAAAAAGGGAGGAACTACAATAACATACTATAGGAGATGGTAATGGGTCATTTTTCTTACATTAACCATCTTCCTTTTTTTTTTTTTTTTTTTTTTAGTTTTGATTTATCCTGTGTGTGGAGGTGAGAGGATAGTTTCTAGGGAATTTGTTTTCTCTTCCTACTTTGTGTGGTTCAGCGACTGAACTTATAGGAGCAAACTCCTTTTACTCACTCAGCTATCTTATCAGTCTTGTCTGTTTTTTATTTATCTGTGAGACAGGGGCTCTCTATCATATAGCTTTAGCTGTCCTGGAACTCACAGAGATCCACCTGCCTCTGCCTCCTAGGTGCTGGGATTAAAAGCATGCACCCCTGCTAGAAGCTGTTTGTTTTTTAAATGCTTGTAGGTCTTGAGGAGCTAAAAAGTCTATCAAGACACAATCTTTAACGTGTTTCAGGGTGTACCTCATGTATTCTAGCCGATACACAGACAAGAGATAGGTAGACATGGCAAAGTCCAGCTTGTTGATGAGGGCGGAGACCTCAGGAGGAGGGTCCAGCAAGTTAATGATGGTGCTTCTCAGCTCACTCAGTTCAGCCTGGAGGAAGGGAACACAGGGGCTCGTGAAGGTGCCTTCCCAGAAGGAAGCCCAGGCTTAGTAGGGACATGGAAAGGGTCTGTTCTAATTTTTTTCTGGACAGTTAATGAGAGAGAGAGAAAAGAGTCCTTACGGGTGTGACCGTGTCATTTTTCATGGCTGAGTTGTACTGGAGGACTGACCGAAGGGGCTCCTTGCTGGGAAAGGTGAGCAGAGGTGACTTGGTCGCTATCTCACAGACTCCCTCATACCATTCTTCTGGCCAGAGTCCTGTAAGAGAAGGTGTGCGTGAGGTAAGGGCTGGTACAAGCCAGCAGACCACCTGACCAACATGCAGGAGAGAAGAGAGAGGAAGGGAGGGGAGGAAAGGGGAAGGGAGAGAAAGAGAGTGAGAATATATGAACTATCTAGTATCTGGTTAAAGAAGTCTTACATCAGTATTGACTCTGGCAATTTCTAGAGTCCTGGATCCCTCAGACAATTATCCCCACAAGGAGATCTACAGCCACGTGGCATAGCCAGTGGTGTTTCTAAGTTCCTGTGTGAACACGCAGCTACATTTGGGCTCAGAGCACATATGCTCAGACTCTGGGGTGGATGAGTCTGACCATGGCTGTTTGTACTGCACACTCAGCCTTTCTCTGGGGTGAGAGAGACCACTCCCTACCTGAACCCTCCACAGCGAATCCCATCAATACAGAGTAGAGCCAGAAGTCCCGGAAAAGCTTCTGTAGCCTAGGTTTAGCTTCTTTGATGGGCGGCAACCGTCGGGTGAGCTGATGCAGGAGGAATGGGGAAAGGCTGTTTGTTAGTAAAACTCTACTAAGTGTAAAACCATGCACACATTCTCCAAGAGCCCCATTCCAGAATAATGGGTCAGAAAGGGTATAAATAGATGCACTGAGCAGTGGCTGATGCGTCTCAATTATCCTACGAATTAACAGGGTCATTTTCTCACTGGTTATATGGAATGCTCACTGTGAGCCAGGCACTGTGTGTGTTCACTCAAAGGGCACTTTGCCTAACTGGGAGGAAAACAACTGTAGTGGGGCAGAGCTCCTGCAAGTGTCATCAGGGACTCACATAAAGCTCGGCCAGGCAGAGAACAGCAAGGAAGCACCAGTTGCTATAAGAAGCCTCGGGCCCCAAGGCTCGGACTGGGAGGGCCCTCAGAGAAGGTAACACAATTGGAGTGTCTTATGGACAGAGTACAAGAAGTAGCTTCCAAGTCCTTTTCAGCACATGAGTATTCAAACAGTAATCTTGGGCAGAACCTCGACATCAGCAAAAGCAGACTGCCCTGAACCCTGCTTGAGAGAGCAGCTTGCCTGGTGGAAGGCACACAGCTGTGTGGCAGGTGTACAAACTGCTTCACTCTGTACAAAGCACCCCACTGAGCACACTGGTCCTCACAGCTCCCGTGGAGTGATGACGTCCAGTCCTGTACTCCTGTAGTGTGGGGCTTTGCCACCCAAACACTAGTGGCATGTGTGTACTAGGTCCTGGGCCAGGAATACGGAGTAGGGAGAGATGATGTCAAATGGCAGGACATGTTGTTCATTTGCATCTGTAGGCATGTAAACTGGTTCAGCAGTCATTGGGGAAGGATACTGCAGTGTGCATCAAAAGGCTAAATATCAAGCTGCATGTCATGAAGCATATACCTGTAATCCCAGCACATAGGAGGTAGAAGCAGAAAGGCCAGGAATTCAAAGTCATCCTTGGATGCACAGTGAGTTTAAAGCCAGCATGAGCTACTTAAGATCTGTCTTAAAAAATAACCAAATTTTCTAAGATCATCTGTTAGTATAGGTAGAATTCACAATGTAAATATGTAAAATATGCAAAACATACAAATGCAGATTTCAATATATATTTTATATTTTCAATATCCATGTATTTCAAATACATTTCAGTGTAAATGTATAAGCAAAGAACAAAGATGGGGAAAAAAATCCCCAGGTGCCTAATAACAGTTACTTGTGAACAGCTGAGTAGTCAAGGGTTTCAGTTCTCCTCTTTGAGAGGAGGACTTCTGCATCTCTCTACAAGTACAGGGACATAGGCTCCAGTCAGGAGCTCAGCAGCCCATGGTCCATGTGGCAGAGAGTCTACCAGGGCACTGTGGCCTGGGGGAGTTGGTTTAGGGCAGACTTTGAGGTGGTAAGGGGATGAGGGAGAGCAATAATGGATGGAAAAACCACAGCGCAGGAAGCCCAAGGCTGCACACATCACTGGCTACCAAGAACAAATGACAACAGTGCTTCTGGTTTGGCCAGTAGCCAAGGATGGCAAGCTGAAGTGTCGGTGTGACTGACTACCGTGATAGGTGTGCCTAAGATGAGGGCCTAAGAAGGAAGTGGAGGCCCAACAGCAGGGTTCAAGGTAAAGTCTAAGAGGGTCTGGTGGTAGTGGATCTCTGTGAATTTGAAGCCAGCCTGGTCTACACAGTGAGTTCTGGACCAGCCAGAACATAGTGAGATCTTGTCTTAAAACAAACAAGCAAGCAAGCAAACAAACTTTCAAGTGGCAGAGAAGCCCAACACAGTTTTGACAGGCAAGACAAAGTAGTTACACTTTCTCTTCACTCTGTGACCTCCGTGGCTCCCTCCTAAGGACTGGCCTTGACAGTAAGCCATGGGCTATTCCTATTTTCTCACTCCTCCTGGTTATTGGGAATCTCAGCTAAGACTCCTCTAGTGCCTAGGAAGTGAAGATGGGGGTAGGAAAGGACACAGCAGTTCTTTGATATGTCCCAAGATAACAACAAGGCATTATGGCAGGTTAGTGCAGGGCTTCAGGAAAGATTGGGGGGTCAGGGAGCTGAGACACCCTAGAGAAGGGCCCCTTAATATAGGACAGGCAGGGGTTACCAGACAGAAGACCTGCTTATGCTTAAGAAGAAGTCAAAATCCTAGGACAAGTGGGAGAGACAGATCAAGGAGTTTAGAGTCATGACAGACAAATGCAAAAGTGTTTGGACCACTCCCATGTGTTCTCCCCGTCTCCGATCTCCACAGGACTGCTGCAATTACAGATGTGTGACCCAATTCCAGACACTGAAATTAGTCCTCAGGCTTGAGAAGATACTGCTACTCACTGAGAAACCCCCTCTTCCCATTCTCTAAACAAAAGCTTTAGGGGCTGGAGAGATGGTTGTACAGTTAAGAGCACTTGCTGCTCTTTTACATGCATGCAGTACAGGCAAACTACTATACAGATAAAAAATATTATTAAAAAAAAAAAAAAGCAGCCTGGTGGTGGCACATATCTTTAATCCCAGCACTTGGAAGGCTGGGGTAGGTGGGTCTCTGTGAGTTTGAGGCAAGTCTTGTCTACAGAGCCGAGTTCCAGGACAACCAGAGCTATACATAGAAAAACCCTGTCTTGCAAAACAAAACAAAACAAAACCCAAAACACAACAAAACAAACAAACAAAAACAAAAAGAAAGTTTTAAGGGTCATTTCAAAAGATTTATTTATGTCTATGTGTATGGGCCTGCATTAGTTTATATGCACCATGTGCATACAGGTGCCTGTGGAGGTCAGAGTATTGGATCCCAGAAGGCACCCTGCTCCCAGGACACTGAACAGTGCCTCAGACAGGCTTAGCCTCAGCAAGACTGAAGACATGCTGGCAGTAACACCCAAAACCTCAGCAACAGAGGAACTGTAGTTTGGAAGAGCTTGTCACCAAGCAGGGATCAAAGACATAGTTGAAAGGGTTTCTGCTGACAAAGCTACCGAGTACTGTTTGAATTGGGACATATTTGCTTTGGAAAATACACAACAGCCCAGCACCAAAGTTCACACAGAAACCCTGCTGGTGGCCCTTTCTGGTTTTATCTCCGTAAAGCCACTGCTCAGAGGCACACTGGTAAGTTTGGTTTCTAACAATTTTTGTCAATTATAATTGTTTGTTTTTAAATGGTTTGAGGTAGGAGATTGATTCCTTTACTGGATTACAAATTGAGAAAAAGAAAATATTATTACTTTTAAAGTTCAGAATAAAATTCTGCCAGTTGTACTGGTGGCACAACTGACAGAACTAGAATTGTTTTATAAGAGACAAGAGCTTTAAATCTTTGATACTTTAAACTGGAAACAGTTGGCACATGGCCGGAACCCAGCACTGAAGGGGTTAGGCCAGCGGATGGGTTTGCAGTCCCTTCATACTTATCACACCAGGGACAAAAATAATTTTCTTTTCAAATTAGGTAATTGTCTATTGACTAAGCAGAGAATAACCCTGTTCTTAGGAAGTTTTCTCCAAGCATTACTATTGAAGGTTAGAGGAATGTAAGAGGTCTAACCTCAAAAGGCTCAGAAAACATTTGCATATGTTGATACATACACATGTCCACACACACTCCATATACCACACACATACACACACACACATACACAACCATATACCACACACACACACACACACACACAACCATATACCCCCCCACACACACACACCATATACCACACCCCCATACACAGGCCTCCCCCATGGAAATGTAAAATCCAGGGATAGTAAAGGGCTCCACTACTCTATTCTTTCGATTCCTTTGTAAGTTTGCAGTTATTTCAATATAAAAAGGTTTCCCAGCACTGAGGAGGCAGAGTGGATCTCTGAGTTCAAGCCCAGCTTGGTCTATAGAGCGAGTTCCAAAACAGCCAGGGCTACAGAGAGAAACCCTGTCTTGAAAAAAACAAAAGTTTCCATATTACTGACAACTACTTTTTTCCTTCCTGTTTGTTCTGGTCTGGATCTGGAGACATCAAGGCAGGAGATAGGGTGTTCTCTGTGACACATGACAAAAATGCCAACTCTACTCCATGCAACTTGTAAGACTATGTTATATGATGTTCCCACAAAAACAAAGTTTTGATGATTTATCTTAAAATTATAGTACTTCAAAGACAGCAACTTGAATGTATATACAACTCAGAGATGTTTTTTAAAAGCCCTAGAAAAAATAGAAAGATTTACCTGTTGGAGCTCTAGTTTTTCAATGCATAAAAAACACCTTTACATCTCCCTTTTCTAGTAAGTGAATCATGAAAATTATGGCTTATAGCTTTTGAGTGCAATGCAGAAATAGAGTAGATGATAAGACCTCAACTCCTAACACAGGGGCTTCCAAGCACACTCCCTGAATCCCAGGAGAGGGTAAAGATGTTGCCTTCTGTTTTATTCTGTAACATTATAATTACTAACTACTGTTTTAGCTGAGGATACTTTTCAGTGTAGTCAAACAAAATACTTCCATTAAGTTGCTTCTGTTCTTTCATAAAGGTTTATTTTATTTTTATTTGTGTATATGCATTTGTCTGTTCAAGTGTGTGCCACATGTGTGCAGATGCCCAGAAGGGTGTCAAAATCCCTTGGAGCTGGAGTTAGAGATGGGTACGAGCCACCTGACTTGAGGGCTGGGATATGAAGACTAGAGAGGACACTGCCAAGCTACCTCGCTAGCCGTTCTTTAATTTTAACATCAATAATACTCATGTCTGATTCTATTTTAAAACTAGCCCAGTTCTATTTGTAGCCACATACATTAGACACCATTTCTAGAAACTGTCCCTCATATGCAGACTACATAGCCACCAATCTCAGCAAGGAGCTGAGGAGGGTCAGAAAAGACAACAGACATATTCAAAGTCAGAAACCATGTGACACTTTCTCTAAAATAAGCAATTAGCTTATTATCTCAGTTAGCTGCAGATGTAGTTCAGTTGACAGAATGCCAGACAAGCACCAATGAGCCCTGTTTCATTCCCAGTAGTGTACAGATTAGGCCTGTAATTAAGGAGGTAGAGGCAAAGAGTCAGAAATTTAAGGTCACCCTTGGCTAAATAGGGCTAGCCTGAGACACACAATGCCTTTTAAAAAGGTCCTCAGTTATGACAAAAAAAAAAAAAAAATGCTGGAATTTTAACCATATGCTAGTGGACAGGCCCTAAGGACAAAGACTGGCAACAGCTGTTCCCAAGTATGGGTAGTTTTGAGTGCGCTGGCTCAAGTCTAGTCATTCAGATCTAGTCATTACGTGCCATCCATCAGTCCCTACATTTTGGTGCTAGGGACTGAGCCCTGATCCCATTCAGGGTGGGTGAGAGTAATCAATATTATCTATATTCCCAACTCAAACCAATGCCATCTTTTAGTAGCAGCAAAGGAAGGCTACATCTCACGATAGGTTATATTGGCAGTAGTATTCCAAGAAGGGCATCCACACAGCTAGTTCCTAATTGTCGAAGGCCTAACAAATCCAAATACTTAGGAGCCAGTAACTCTTATTTGATCTAGACTGGTAACAGCCAGGTGGTGGTGGCACACATCTTTAATCCCAGCATTTAGGAGGCAGAGACAGGTGGCTCTCTTTGAGTTTGAGGCCAGCCTGGTCTATAAAGTGAGTTCCAGGACAGGCTTCAAGGCTACACAGAGAAACCCGTCTCCAAAACAAAACAACAAAAAAATAGACTGACAACAGATATTCTAAACCAGGAAATGGTCACAGGCACAAAACAAACTCTTCCTAGGAATCTACCTTTCTGGTAAAACAGGGAAACAACAAAAGAGAGGCCATCTGCCTAGTTAATAATTGATATATGGAAAAACCAAGTCAAAGCCACTAGATAGAAAGATAGGATTTGGCCGGGCAGTGGTGGCACATGCTTTTAATCCCAGCACTCGGAAGGCAAAGGCTGGTGGATCTCTGTGTGTTCAAGTACAGCCTGGTCTACAGAGCGAGTTCCAGAACAGACTCCAAAGCAATACAAAGAAACCCTGTCTCGAAAACCAAAAAAAAAAAAAAGATTTGACAAGGGATGTGTAGATAAGGACAAGAGATCTCTCTCCTGTCTACAGACCTTTACAGAGGGTGAGCCTCTGACATCACCCTCCCATACATCCTGTTTGCATAGTGAGATTGGAAGTAAAAGATTTCTTTTTCCTGACAGCAGAGTTCTTCTACAGCAAGTCACATAACCTAATGGTCTTTGAGAGTGCCAGGAGACACAGGCTCCAGCCACATTCCTTCAGTAGGTCCTTAGGGAGTCTTGCTAGGTTCCAAATCTTAAACAAATTATCCACAGATGACTGTACAGAGTACAGCCATCCAAGATAAGTTTTTAGAAGGCTGGCTCCTCCTCCCCAGCTGAGCAGTAGTTTGGGCTTACAGGTAGGGCTGAGTCCATCCACTGGAAATTCCCCTCCTGTCTCAGGTACTTACTCAAGCTCATCTCTTATGAAACCTCTAACTTTCTGGGCACCCTGCTCTCACTCTGAGAGGTATAGCCATACCCTACCTTTCCATGCCAGTACTGTTCTGAGAGTTCTTGATTCACTTCACGTCTGTCCCTTAATGGCTCTAGTGCCAGCTGAGTTTTCTGGAGACAAACGATGGTGTTTAGTGAATAAATGAGAAAGAAACTCTAGGAACCTCCCAAGTTTCCTCTTTTTTCATTGCATTAAAGAAGCTGTCAGGTCAGCAGACAAAGGTGCTTGTTGTGCAAGCATGACTACCAGAGTTTGATCTCTAGGTAATGTTATGGTTGGGGGTCACCACAACCTGAGCTGTATTAAACAGCGTTAGGAAGGTTGAGAACCCCTGGTCTGGAGATTCCTAGATCCCAGGAGATGTATGAAGCACGCAAAACATTAACACTAGTTGTATGTTTATTTCTTATCAGATTCCCTTAAAGTTTAGCTTGTGTAAGAACTGGTACTGTGCCAGGCCTCTTTCTGTGTTAAAACACGGAGAACCCAGCAGGATGGAGTCAGGGCTGCCTCTCACTGCTGTCTGTTTTCTACACCAGCTTTAGCTCTGCAAAAATGAAGCATCCATTCCACCCTCTTCTTCTTTCTGTCATTATGTCTGTATGTGTTGGGAGCAAAGGCCTTGCTGAGCAGCTAGCTAAGGAAAACGTGAGCATGTCCTTCCTTCCTGCTAACTTCCACAAAGAAAACACAGTCACCAACGACTGGATTCCAGAGGGGGAGGAGGAAGAGGACTATCTGGACCTGGAGAAGCTATTCAGTGAGGATGATGACTACATTTACATCATTGATGCAGTTTCCCCGACAGATGCAGAATCAAGTGCTGGGAACATCCTGCAGCTTTTCCAAGGAAAGAGCCGGATCCAGCGCCTTAATATCCTCAACGCAAAGTTTGCCTTCAACCTTTACCGAGTCCTGAAGGACCAGGTTGCCACTTCTGATAACATCTTCATAGCACCTGTTGGCATTTCCACTGCCATGGGGATGCTTTCCTTAGGCTTGAGCGGAGAAACCCATGAGGAAGTACACTCAGTTCTACACTTTAAAGACTTTGTCAATGCTAGCAACAAGTATGAGATTACCACTATTCATAATCTCTTTCGAAAGCTGACCCATCGCCTGTTCAGGAGGAACTTTGGGTACAAGCTCCAGTCTGCTAATGGCCTTTACATTCAGAAGCAGCTTCCCATCCGGGAGGACTTCAAAGCTAACATGAAGGAATTTTACTTTGCTGAGGCCCAGGTGGCTGACTTCTCAGATCCTGCCTTCATATTGAAGGCAAACAACCATGTTTTGAAGCTCACCAAGGGCCTCATAAAAGCAGCTCTGGAGAATATAGACCCTGCTACTCAGATGATGATTTTGAACTGCATCTACTTCAAAGGTAAGATGCACTTCCATGACTCCCAAAGGAAACTCACAAAATAGCCATCTGCTATACAAAAGACAACACTAAGAACTGTAGTGTAGCTGTTACTTAGGAGGGAAAATAAGACACTACATCAACTCAGGGACAGAAAGAACATCAAGAGGTGGTAGCTGCTAATCTTATTATTTTACACTCACTGGATTTTTATGTGGTAGGTATCATGGTGCTAGATCCTTGTTTTATAGACAAATCCACTAGAGCTAAGAGATAAGATGCCCTAAGGAAGTGTGGTGGTGGCAGCCTTGGAGGTGGCACACATCTTTAATCCCAGCTTTCAAGAAGCAGAGGCAGGTGGGTCTCTATTTGTGGCCAGCCTGATCTACAGAGCAAGTTCCAGGACAGCCAAGGCTGTTGTATAGAGAAACTTTGTCTTGAAAAACCAAAGCCACCCCCCCAAAAGAAAGGTCCCCCAAGGGTAAAGGCTGTAGAGGCAATGTTCAAGATAAATCTCGGTAAGATATCTAATGATTTATTAATTGGAAGAAATGATGTAAGCTTTCCCTTTTTAGTATTTGACCAGCATGTATTAAGATTTCTTCATTTCCCTTCCAAATTATCAGTGAGTAGAAATATGGACAAAGGCTAAGGAAATATGTCTGGAAAATTTTCAGCTACAGTAACTGTTAACTTCTTCTCAGGTTATTTGTTTTTGAGACACGGTCCCCCTGTGTAGCCTTGACTAGTCTAGAGCTTGCTATGTAGACCAGGCTGGCCTGCTAAGATCAAAGGCATGTGCCACCATAATCAGCTTTCTCAGGGGACTTTTGCATTAATGGATGAGTAGGAAATACACAATTAATTCTGTTCCTTTTTTTTTTTTTAATTTTTGTTTTTCCTTTGAGACAGTTCTTTCCTCTATAATGTGATCTTTGTGATGGAACCAAAGTTGGCAGGCCTGGCAGCATCTTTACCTGCTGAGCCATCTTTCTGGTCCTAAATATTTCTTTCTTCAGCAACTCTTACAGGCCAGGCATTAAAGCACTTTTAGTACCATCTCCCACTAACATATATGCACATGCACATGTGTATAGCTATACGATAAGACCTAACTCAAAATTTATTTTTTAAAAAAGGTCTTGCTATGTAGCCAGGCTGACCTAGAACTAAGACGACCTCCCCCCCCCCACCGCCTTGCTTCCATCAATGCTGGGGCTACAGGCAAAATCCAAACCTCTTGGAAATCTGATCAAAATAAACTTACATCTCCCTTAAGCCACAAACAGTCATAGGAGAGGCTTAGAGCCAGAGCTAACAGCAGCACTATAGCCTTATTTCTTTGTTGTCAGAGTTCAGGATACTGGTGAAGGCATAGGTGTGGGAAGCCTACATTTCCTACTTGTTCAGCCCAGTGGTATAATGCTCCAGTACCTGAAGGGCAGGAGATTTCTCCTGGCTTCTGCATGTTGGGGTGGGGCCACAGCCTCTGCTGACCTGTCTATGTGCTACACAGAACTCCCAGTTCTGGAAAAAAAAAAAAAAAAAAAGCATCCTGCCAGACTGGGCTGCTAAGCAGCACTGCAGAGGCCAAGACCTCAGGGGGCTTGGGAGCCTGAGAGTTGACTCTAGGCTTCCTTCCAGAGCCAGGCACAGCATTCAAGTTTCAATGAGGGTCCAGCTAAAGGTTAAATCTCTAATAAGCCTGTCTGTGACCATAGACAGACAAACATATAGTACATATATATGATGAAAATATTTTCTTTTTCATTACTAGTTCTAAGTACAAGTTTTGGAACTGAGCAAACAAGAGTCTTCTATGTTCTGGTTTCACCTGTCTCATTTGTGTGACCCTGGGACACTCATTTGACATCTTATCATGGAAGGATCAGACCTACTCTGATAAGTTGCACAGAACTGAAGAGACAGTAATGCAACCCTGTAAACAGTAAGAGCACAATGAACTTGAAGGAGTGTATATAATATAGTTCAATATGACAAGTGTGATATTGCAAGTAACATTTACTCTCATAAGCAATCAGGCTACGTGCTTGGGGATGACTTCAGAACAGGTTGGCAGGCCATCACCACCAAAGCCCTCAGTGTTCAGTTTGCTGGTTGCCCACAGTCTCTACATTAACTAGTCATATTGAAATTCTGAACCAAGAGGCTATTGTGTCAGCACTGGAGTAGGTGGGAATATAGCATAGACTAGACGTGATCATATTATCTACACTGCAGTATCCACTTTGCACTGAGGCATCTTTCCCTACTGTGCTGGAACACTGACTAGACTTGTTGCTGGGAATCAGAGAGTGCATCTTTTTGTTTGCTTGTTTTGAGACAGGGCCTCACTATGTAGACCAGGCTAGCCTTGAATTCACAGAGACTCCTGCCTCTGCCTCTGGAGTGCTGGGAGTAAAGGTGTGCACCACCACACCTGGCTGAGAGGAATGCGCCTTAAAGGTTAGAAAATTTTGTAAGTACAATTTTAGTTTCTAATTCCCAAATCTCTGTTACTAAGTTAACTCTGTGTTATTCCTGCTTTGTTGGAGTCCCTTCATGTCAGTGCTGGAAAAGCAGGGATTTCCAGTGGGTCTGAAGCAGATGTCTGTAGGCACTAGTAACTGTTACAACTTAAGCTGCTCTCATGCTGGGAGGGCCTAACAATGCTGTTACAGCCTCATATAGCTGTTGATCCCCACACTACAGGGAATTATCTGGCTTAGAAATCCTGGGTGTGGATGACTTAGAGGTAGCAGCTGAGCTTCAACCATAAGCAGGCCAGAGCTGGCTGGTGTTTAAACTTCCTCCAAAGATCCCTGCTTTTCTCATCTCAGCTGCTCTATATACCAGATGGAAACCATGAACAAGTCACCTTATTTCATGTGTCTATGATACTTTATCCAAAAAGTATGGATGAAAATTAAAATCATCTATTTCATATAGCTTCTGGGAACTGAAAAATGAGATAATATACAAAAGGTGCTTATGCCTGGCATGTGGCCTGCTGACAACTAGTTACCAACATTAATAATGATGAGTGTCGTAGAGCTAAGATTTACTCCTGAATAATCACTCTATACCCAGCTGACATGGCAGATCCTGAGGATACAGCTATATCAGATATGTGCCCTGCCAAATGCTAGAGAACCATACTGTGAGGTCTCAAAGGGTTACTCACTTTACAAATAATTAGATGAGAGGCCCAGGCAAATTAGGTATCTGTCAGGGACTAATAAGTAATGTCAGAATCTAACCCATAATGTCTTGTGGTCACTTAAATTTCTCTTGCTAAGACTCTGGGGATCAGTCCTAGAGAGCCCTCTGAGGGAAAACATTCAAGAGCAAAGACAACATTCTAAAGGGACATCTTACCAACTGCCTGCTCCTTTTGACTTTACAGGAACCTGGGTGAATAAATTCCCAGTAGAAATGACACACAGTCACAACTTCCGGCTCAATGAGCGAGAAGTAATTAAAGTCTCCATGATGCAGACTAAGGGGAATTTCCTCGCAGCAAGTGACCAGGAGCTGGACTGTGACATTCTGCAGTTGGAGTATGTAGGGGGCATCAGCATGCTGGTTGTGATCCCACGAAAGCTCTCGGGAATGAAGGCTCTTGAAGCACAGCTCACACCCCAGGTAGTAGAGAGATGGCAAAAAAGCATGACAAACAGGTACTTCAGGTCATTTGTTCTTTTGCTTTCTTGGGCTGGGGTATCTAAGAGTGCTGAAGCCATGGCTAATTTCTGCCCTTTCCTTCTGAGCCAGGGTTTCACTCTGTAGTCCAGATTGGCCTGGAACTCATTATGTAGTGCAGTGACTCTCCTCTCTCATCAGCCTGATATAAGTGCCAGGGTGACATGTGTGAGCCACCCTAAGTTTCACCAGTTTTTGTTTGTTTTTTAAAAGGGGAAAGTATGCAAAAGAACAAGAATTGCCACATAGGCCATTCTTGTTTATGTCAGCCTGAATTTCTTGCTCAGCAGGAGCTCTGATGAGAAAAGCCATCCCCTCCACACAGCTGTTTCAGAGGGCAGGGACAGGTAGCCTCAGGCCATCTTAGGAATCACCTCCATCTTCAAAAGCACTTTGTGGCTATGAGCCCCAGGTGAGACTAATCACATTACTTAGCAGGGCTCATGATGAGAAATAAACAGAAGAGGTGGTTGACTTGCTCCCAACCTCTGCTCCCCCACAACCCCCCAGAGCCTAGAATGTAAGAGGGTCCCAGCAAAGAGAGCTCTCTCCTTCCTTGCCAGGAAATTATTTTTAACTCATTGAAGACTTGTCACTGATTATTTTCCTTGATTATTACTTATTATTTATAGTTGAAACAGATGATGTTAAATATTGCTGAAATCATTATTGGACTTCGGCAGGAAGAATAGAGAAATTAGATATATTTCTGTGTTATAGGTAATTACTGTTTGTTAGACTCATAATGAGAGGTGACACCTGTTGAACAAGAAAGACAAAAAATTCAACAAACTGAAAATGCTGCTGGGTATAGTACTGTGCCCTGTAATGCCAGCACTGGAGAAGCTGAGGCAGGAAATCACAAATACAGGGTCAGCTTAGGAAGAATAAGACCTACTTCAAAAACACCAAAGCACAGGCCAGCGAGATGTATGAGCAGGCAAGCATGCTCACTGCCAAGCCTAACTACCTGAGTTCAATCCCTGGGACCCTGGTGGTAGAAGGTGAGTCCTCCTTTATCTTATCTCTATACACATACTACATACCCTGGGCAATATGCATGCACAATAAAAATTAAAGCAAGCCTGGTGGTAGTGGTAGCATTGCACACCTTTAATTCCAGCACTCGGGAGGCAGAGGCAGGCAGATCTCTGAGTTTGAGGCCAACCTACTGAGCAAGTTCCAGGACAGGCTCTAAAGCTACACAGAGAAATCCTGTCTTGAAAAACAGAACAACAACAACAACAACAAACCCATAAAATATAAAACCTTAGAAGCAGATTCTTGGAGCAAGGTGGATTTCCCAGGTATATGAGTCACTGAGGTCAAGCCACCTTGAGTTCTGTCTCTAGTCCAGCACAGCATTTCCACCCCTCACCTCTTTCTCCATGTGGACTCCTAACCCTAACAAGGAGAGCCTAGCCAGCTTCTAGCCAGTCCTGAGTTTGCCCTCCCTGGTTGGCTCTTTAACATCTTTCCTTTCCCCCTCCCTTGGCCCTTTCCTTCGTGCTCCAGTCAGATCCAAGGCCTTCATGTTTCTTATATATAAAGTAGCTTAACACTTACATATATCCTATGTACATATCCCCCACAGACTAGAAGTCATCCACCTTACTTATAACCGACACATAATATGAATATGTGTAAATAGTTGCTCTACTTACTACATTGCTTATAGAATGATGGGAACGGAAATTCTGTACATGTACAGATACAGTTTTCCCTGGTACCTGGAATCTGTGGTTCATGAAATTGATTGATATAAGGGCTAACTGTGACAGGACTTACAGTGCATGGCTTTTCCAAAACTTAACTGACAGTACCAATATATAAAATTTAAATGCCAAGGAATGTTATGCCAATTCTGTGGTAAAGGCAACCCACTGCAGGCCATGCAAACTTAGCAGGGAAAATGTGATTATTCTGTCATTTGTATCCATAAAATTGACTCTCTCCTTCTCCAACTAGAACTCGAGAGGTACTTCTGCCCAAGTTTAAGCTTGAGAAGAACTACAACCTGGTAGAGGTGCTTAAGTCTATGGGAATCACAAAGCTGTTCGACAAGAATGGCAACATGTCAGGCATCTCAGACCAAAGGATCACCGTTGATCTGGTAACAGCACCCTCCTGTTAGTCCCTAGATCCTGCCTTGCATTGTTGCTGCCTCTTTCCCCAACCTCCTGGTGGGCCTGTGACCCAAACTTGAAGGATACAAGGGCTGGGTGGTGATTTTGGCTTCCAAGGCCTTTCAGACACTGGACAGTCAGTAGTGACTGTAGTTGTATGGTTGAAAGTAAGTACATGTGCTGTGGCAGAGATTGTAGTCACAATGACCAGGCACTCAAAGACCATGTGGGTCATTGTGATAGACATGACTTTGTCTTATGTGAGGCCCCTGGGGCTTTTCTCCAATGTTGAGTCTTAATGGGGTGCTCCACCCCACCCGCCTTTCGTGACAACTTGCACAGCTGACAACTCTCTTTTCTGCTTTTAAACAGTTCAAGCACCAAAGCACCATCACAGTGGATGAAGAGGGCACGCAAGCTGCAGCTGTAACCACAGTGGGGTTCATGCCGTTGTCTACCCAAGTCCGGTTCACTGTTGACCGTCCTTTCCTGTTTCTAGTGTATGAGCACCGAACCAGCTGCCTGCTCTTCATGGGGAGAGTGGCCAACCCTGCCAGGTCTTAACAGTGCCTTGTGGTCTGGGCACCTAGTGTAGTTTGGGGACAATCTGTAATTCTGTTCTCAGTCTAAGAGGACAAAGATGTTTTGATGTGATAACTTATGTGGTTTATGATAATATCTGGATTTAAGGTCCACATAGTAGAAGGGAGTTACCAAGGACTAAGAAGCTGACACAGAAGTTAATGTAGTAACTCTAGTGCTAGCTATTCCCCAGGTCCTAGCAACATACAGGCTGCCTCAGCCCCGACTCCTGCGCCCCTAAGAACAAACCGCCAGAGTGTACATAATGCTTTCTCTGCAGGCAGCCCCATCAGCTTTACTTTTCAAGGCTTTTCCTCAGCCAGTCCCTATCTAAATGCTATTCAGGAGGTTTTACCCCTTCCAGGGAGGATGCCCGACAGCACCATTCCTGCCCAGTGGAAAAGAAACCTCAACATGCCTGAGATTTGGGACTTAATTCAAGATCCAATCTTCTGAATTCATGTGACCATATCCTCCCCTGCTGCCTCAGGGTTACCTAGGTGTGTACACAAGGCTACACAGATCCTATTCTAGAGATAAATAAACAACTATATTTACTGTGTATCTGTTATAATTCTCTAAAAAAAAAAAAGTTTCACTATGTAGTTTTGGCTGGACTGGAATTTGCTAAGTACACCAAGCTGGCCTTGAACTCATATGGTATCTTCCTACTTTTGCCTCCTGAGTGCTGGGATCCCTAAAGGCATGTGCCACAATATCCAGTATAATTCTATTTTTTTTTTTGTAGCTCTAATAACAAAGGGCAAGCTGAAAAAAACACCCTTAAGAAAGACAAAGGTTAAAGAAAGTCACTCAAATGCTGCACAGTGATTAATACATTATAGAAGCAAGTCCTAGGATGAAGGTGAGGTGTGTGGCTGAGTCCTGGATACCAGTCTGATAGACTTCCTGAGATGGGTGCTTCAGTACCATGAGCTGGAAACTCAGTCTTTAGTGAGGTACATACATGCTTTAACTTTCATCTCTCAGACATGGCCCTGTAGTAGGTCTGGTCTGATATTCCCAAGGTTTGGATGGTTTGGGGTCATCCACAATACTCCAAAGGCTGCTCAGAAGGCATGGATCAAGAAGTATGTTTTTATTGGGGAGACTGGCAACTGTAATAGGAGCAGCAGCCAGCTCTTGCATATGGACTAACTGTAAAACCCATACCTTAGAGGAAGAAGTTTTATTTCTCTATAATGCAAGAACTGGAAGGGGTCTAAAACATGTACAAAGTACAGCTACAAGGTGGGGCTGGAGACCAAGGCCAGGCTTGCTGGACTGGAAAGTCTTGTAGGGAGTCTTAGTCACAGAAGACTGGCCACATGAAGCAATAACAGTAATGGGACAGCTGAGAGGAGCATGCTACTTACAGTGCAATGCACACATACAGACACTACTATATGCATGATGCTGCTGGCTTAGGAGTCCATACTCTCATCACCTCCTCTTGACAGCTGAGAAAGCAATTTACAGAAGGGGAGTAATCTGATGAGACCTAGGTCCAACCCAAGGTAGGCAGGCTCCAGGGCCTGTACTTCTTGCTATCTTATATCTATACCAGCACTCTACTGAGAAAAGACAGTATAGGACCGAGGCACAATCTTCCCACTCCATCTTTTCACCTTCTTGGTGAAGCCTGAATGATGATGGCCCATCACTTTCCCCTCCAGTTTGCAATTTGTTTTAACACTGTTCTTTGCTGATGTTTGCTCTATATATTTTATCTTGGTAATTTTTCTTGTCCCTTATATCCACCACCATAGTTATCTTAAAACTGTGTCCTAAAAAGATGGATGGGTATGTCCCTGTAATCCCAGTTATTCTGGCTGAGGTTAGGAGGATTGGTTGACTCTAAAATTTAGAGCCTGGACTGTAAGGTGAAATCCTGTCTCAAACAAACACCTCCCTATCCTAGATCTTTAGCCTTTGCCATGTGTCCTTTTCCCAGAATGCCAATGCTCTCACTTCCAATTCCCACCTCAGCCAGAGCCAGCCTAGGTTGCTCCAGGCTCCTGCACAGGGCAGGACCCTCTTGTCTCCACGCTCCTTACTTACTTATATCTACCTGGAATCCCTGTGATCCCCTCTTAAAGAGACTAGCCTACCATTTCTCAAAGCAGTAGAGGATCAACTCACAGAGAGCACAGGCTGTGGGCCTAATCTGATGCCTAATAGCTACGAGATGTTGAGCAGGTTTAATACCTCACTATGCATACTTATAACGTGGAATTCAAAGCAGCAGTGGTGTCACAGGGTTGTTGTGAGGCAGCAATGCCTATACAAGGTCTAGAGCACAGGTAAATATTTCTTTTCTTTTTTTTTCTTTTTTTGTTTTTTGAGACAGGGTTTCTCTGTATTGTTTTGGAGGCTATCCTGGCACTCACTCAGTATGTAGACCAGGCTGGCTTCTAACTCACAGAGATCTGCCTGCCTCTGCCTCCCAAGTACTGGGACTAAAGGTGTGCACCACCAACACCTGGCTAAGATTTCTTGTTCTAGGCTAAGAAAGCATCTTATCAGGGACCCCTAACTTAGAGGCTCTGGACAATGTTTTCATGAGGCACATTGTGAACCAAGATGTATTTCTGTGGAAAAGAAGTATAAAGCTTGCAAGTGTCTATGACCTAGAAAAAGATATACCCTGTCCAAGTCCACAGAAACTACTCAGGTGAAGATGAACCTGCTCTCAGTGGGGTGCAGGAGGTGTGCATCTGTCAGCCATTGCATTCTAACTGAGTAGATGAGGTGTCTAAGTGTCACACAGCCTTCAAAATGCTTATGTGTGGACTACATAGCAGCAAAAGCAATGAAGAAATAAGTTTGCAAAGTTAGAGACAATAAAGATCACCTAACTAAGTAGGAAGGAGTCCCACAACCACATGACTGAGCTCCACAGCAACTGGAGCGCTCCAGTTTCCGGTGGTCACTGGGTGTTGACTGATGTGATAGGGCAAGAGCCAAGATTTTTCTCCAAATCTACCACCCTTTTGAATCATTAAAAGTCAAAAAAAAAAAAAAAAAAAAAAGTATCTCTTTTTCTTTGAAAAACAAACAGCAATAACAACAACAAAACAGTACAAGACCCTAATATTAAACACACACACACACACACACACACACACAATCAATTTCTCCCAGAAGGTACAAGAAGTCACTAAAAAGCAAATGCAAAAAGCCATGATCCTTTGGCTCTCTGTTGAGCAATTAGATCAAATATTTGTTTCCTCCCCCGTAATATAACCATTAACTAATGTTAAAGTTAAAGTAAAAAGTTAAAAAGTGTGTATAACTGTTCTTTTGCCTTTAAGTGTGGCTATGTCCCCATGTCTCCTCTTTTAACACCATGCTTAAATCTGCATTAAAATCTTTTTCTTTTTTTCTTTTTTTTTAAGACAGGGTTTCTCTGTAGCTTTGGAGGCTGTCCTGGAACTAGCTCTTGTAGACCAGGCTGGTCTCAAACTCCCATCATTGCCCGGCCTAAAATCTTTTTCTTAATTCCAATGAAAAATGATGACACCCAGCTGGGAGGTGGTGCACACCTTTAATTCCAGCACTCAGGAGGTAGGGGCAGGAGATCTCTGTGCGTTCAAGGCTTGCCTGGTCTACAAAGCGGGTTCCAGGATAGCCAGGGCTACACAGAGAAACCCAGTCTGAAATAAAAAACAAAAACAAAACAAAACAAACAAAAAACCCCCAACAAACCAACCAAACAAGATATACTTATTCTATTCACATAACTTTCAAAGGTTGGGGGACTTAGAATGCTTGTCCTGAGAAGCCCTTCATTACAGTAATACCTGAGAAGCTCAGACACTCAGAACCCCACAAATGCAAACACTATAAGTTCAACCTTAGCCTTTATGACCCTGAAACCTGGGTGCTCCCAAGAAACTTCCCTCATCATTGCTACCCTCAAAGAGTAAAATGTTCCTGGAAGATTTCTTGAATGAACTTATTACACTCTAAATGAGCACTAATAGACATTCTTGAAAGTTCACAGGAAGGGAGGCCAACAGGGGAAGGTGACAAATGGAACAGAGCATGACACATATATATGAAGGTGCCATGATCAAAGTCATCATTTTATGTGCTAACCTATAAAGTTACTTTTACTTTTTATATTTTATTTTGAGACAGGATCTTATGTCCTGAAACTCTCTCTGTAGACCAGACTGGCTTTGCCTCTGTTCCCTAAGTGCTGGGATCACAGGTATGCACCACCACCACCAGCCCTCAAAAGTTCATCATTTAGTAGAGGGCTAAAGATGATTTGGCAGTTAAAAACACTGACTGTTCTTCCTGAAGACTTAGATTTGATTCTTAGCACACACTTGGCAGCTCAATCCAGGGAATCTGATGCCCTCTTCTGGCTTCTATGGGCACAAGGAATTCTTGTGATGCACAGGCATACATGCAGACAAAATAACCTTACACATAAAATAAAATAAAAAATTAAGTTGGGCCATGTATGGCGGCACACACTCAGGAGATAGGCTGGTAGAGCTCCATGAGTTTGAGACCAGGCTATTACATAATCAAAGTATGCAGTGAGATCCTCTCTCTCTTGGGAAAAAAAAAAATGTTTTTCAACCATTAAAAAAGCTGACTGTTAGGCTGGAGAAATAGCTTAGCAGTTAAGAGTACTGACTGTTTTTCCAGAGGATCCAGGTTTAATTCCTAGCGCCCACATGGACACTCACAACTGCTCCAAATCCAGGGGGTCTGGCACTTTCACAGATATACATGCAGGCAAAATATCAATGTACATAAAATAAAAATAAAATCTAAAAAAATTGACTGTTCCTGGGCAGTGGTGGCATGACACATGCCTTTAATCCCAGCACTTGGGAGGCAGAGGCAGAGGCAGAGGCAGGAGGATTTCAGTGAGTTTGAGGCCAGCCTGGTCTACACAGAGAATTAGTTTCAATACAGCCAGGGAGTCACTGAGAAACTCCATCTTGAAAAACAAAACCAACAACAAACCAACCCCACCACCTCTGTTTTTGCTGGGGGTGGAGGAGGGAAAGTTCCCAGGGATATGGGTCATAGAATATTCAGACTCCAGAGCTCTGGATGATGCCATCACAGTCTTTCCTGTCTAGCCATGCTTTTCCATGGCCTTGCTGACTCCTTTCCAACAGGCCTCATGCTCCTCACTGTTCTTTCTAGGCCAAACAGAGGCTTCCTGTGAGAGTCACAGCTCAGCTTCTGTTGCTGACAATCTAACCCAGAGCCTTGTATGCACTAATTATGCTCTATCATTGAGCTGAGCCTTCTTCATTCCACAAAAACACTTCAAAACACAGTTATATAGTAGATAATGTTAAGGGCAAAGTGGAAGAATTTTTTTTTGAAAAATAATTAATAGGGGAAATGGCATTATAGAAAGGATTCTGGAACCCTGAAAATCTGGTTGTTTTAAATGTTTATGGGTGTTTTGCCTACATATATCTTTGCACCATGTGTGTGCCTAGTGCCATGAAGTCAGAAGAGAGTGTCAGATCTCCTGGAACTGGAGTTGCAGATGATTGTGAGGTTCATGTGGGTGGTAGGAGT